GCTCAATAACAGTGTAAAGTTCACCAGTGATGAAACGAGTTCGGCTCAATAACTGTGTAAAGTTCACCAGTGATGAAACGAGTTCGGCTCAATAACTGTGTAAAGTTCACCAGTGATGAAACGAGTTCGGCTCAATAACTGTGTAAAGTTCACCAGTGATGAAACGAGTTCGGCTCAATAACTGTGTAAAGTTCACCAGTGATGAAACGAGTTCGGCTCAATAACTGTGTAAAGTTCACCAGTGATGAAACGAGTTCGGCTCAATAACAGTGTAAAGTTCACCAGTGATGAAACGAGTTCGGCTCAATAACAGTGTAAAGTTCACCAGTGATGAAACGAGTTCGGCTCAATAACTGTGTAAAGTTCACCAGTGATGAAACGAGTTCGGCTCAATAACTGTGTAAAGTTCACCAGTGATGAAACGAGTTCGGCTCAATAACAGTGTAAAGTTCACCAGTGATGAAACGAGTTCGGCTCAATAACTGTGTAAAGTTCACCAGTGATGAAACGAGTTCGGCTCAATAACAGTGTAAAGTTCACCAGTGATGAAACGAGTTCGGCTCAATAACAGTGTAAAGTTCACCAGTGATGAAACGAGTTCGGCTCAATAACTGTGTAAAGTTCACCAGTGATGAAACGAGTTCGGCTCAATAACAGTGTAAATTGATGAAACGAGTTCGGCTCAATAACTGTGTAAAGTTCACCAGTGATGAAACGAGTTCGGCTCAATAACTGTGTAAAGTTCACCAGTGATGAAACGAGTTCGGCTCAATAACAGTGTAAAGTTCACCAGTGATGAAACGAGTTCGGCTCAATAACTGTGTAAAGTTCACCAGTGATGAAACGAGTTCGGCTCAATAACTGTGTAAAGTTCACCAGTGATGAAACGAGTTCGGCTCAATAACAGTGTAAAGTTCACCAGTGATGAAACGAGTTCGGCTCAATAACAGTGTAAAGTTCACCAGTGATGAAACGAGTTCGGCTCAATAACAGTGTAAAGTTCACCAGTGATGAAACGAGTTCGGCTCAATAACAGTGTAAAGTTCACCAGTGATGAAACGAGTTCGGCTCAATAACTGTGTAAAGTTCACCAGTGATGAAACGAGTTCGGCTCAATAACAGTGTAAAGTTCACCAGTGATGAAACGAGTTCGGCTCAATAACAGTGTAAAGTTCACCAGTGATGAAACGAGTTCGGCTCAATAACTGTGTAAAGTTCACCAGTGATGAAACGAGTTCGGCTCAATAACTGTGTAAAGTTCACCAGTGATGAAACGAGTTCGGCTCAATAACTGTGTAAAGTTCACCAGTGATGAAACGAGTTCGGCTCAATAACTGTGTAAAGTTCACCAGTGATGAAACGAGTTCGGCTCAATAACTGTGTAAAGTTCACCAGTGATGAAACGAGTTCGGCTCAATAACTGTGTAAAGTTCACCAGTGATGAAACGAGTTCGGCTCAATAACTGTGTAAAGTTCACCAGTGATGAAACGAGTTCGGCTCAATAACTGTGTAAAGTTCACCAGTGATGAAACGAGTTCGGCTCAATAACAGTGTAAAGTTCACCAGTGATGAAACGAGTTCGGCTCAATAACAGTGTAAAGTTCACCAGTGATGAAACGAGTTCGGCTCAATAACTGTGTAAAGTTCACCAGTGATGAAACGAGTTCGGCTCAATAACAGTGTAAAGTTCACCAGTGATGAAACGAGTTCGGCTCAATAACTGTGTAAAGTTCACCAGTGATGAAACGAGTTCGGCTCAATAACTGTGTAAAGTTCACCAGTGATGAAACGAGTTCGGCTCAATAACAGTGTAAAGTTCACCAGTTATGAAACGAGTTCGGCTCAATAACAGTGTAAAGTTCACCAGTGATGAAACGAGTTCGGCTCAATAACTGTGTAAAGTTCACCAGTGATGAAACGAGTTCGGCTCAATAACTGTGTAAAGTTCACCAGTGATGAAACGAGTTCGGCTCAATAACTGTGTAAAGTTCACCAGTGATGAAACGAGTTCGGCTCAATAACTGTGTAAAGTTCACCAGTGATGAAACGAGTTCGGCTCAATAACTGTGTAAAGTTCACCAGTGATGAAACGAGTTCGGCTCAATAACTGTGTAAAGTTCACCAGTGATGAAACGAGTTCGGCTCAATAACTGTGTAAAGTTCACCAGTGATGAAACGAGTTCGGCTCAATAACTGTGTAAAGTTCACCAGTGATGAAACGAGTTCGGCTCAATAACTGTGTAAAGTTCACCAGTGATGAAACGAGTTCGGCTCAATAACACTGTAAAGTTCACCAGTGATGAAACGAGTTCGGCTCAATAACTGTGTAAAGTTCACCAGTGATGAAACGAGTTCGGCTCAATAACTGTGTAAAGTTCACCAGTGATGAAACGAGTTCGGCTCAATAACTGTGTAAAGTTCACCAGTGATGAAACGAGTTCGGCTCAATAACTGTGTAAAGTTCACCAGTGATGAAACGAGTTCGGCTCAATAACTGTGTAAAGTTCACCAGTGATGAAACGAGTTTGGCTCAATAACAGTGTAAAGTTCACCAGTGATGAAACGAGTTCGGCTCAATAACTGTGTAAAGTTCACCAGTGATGAAACGAGTTCGGCTCAATAACTGTGTAAAGTTCACCAGTGATGAAACGAGTTCGGCTCAATAACTGTGTAAAGTTCACCAGTGATGAAACGAGTTCGGCTCAATAACTGTGTAAAGTTCACCAGTGATGAAACGAGTTCGGCTCAATAACTGTGTAAAGTTCACCAGTGATGAAACGAGTTCGGCTCAATAACTGTGTAAAGTTCACCAGTGATGAAACGAGTTCGGCTCAATAACAGTGTAAAGTTCACCAGTGATGAAACGAGTTCGGCTCAATAACTGTGTAAAGTTCACCAGTGATGAAACGAGTTCGGCTCAATAACAGTGTAAAGTTCACCAGTGATGAAACGAGTTCGGCTCAATAACAGTGTAAAGTTCACCAGTGATGAAACGAGTTCGGCTCAATAACAGTGTAAAGTTCACCAGTGATGAAACGAGTTCGGCTCAATAACAGTGTAAAGTTCACCAGTGATGAAACGAGTTCGGCTCAATAACTGTGTAAAGTTCACCAGTGATGAAACGAGTTCGGCTCAATAACTGTGTAAAGTTCACCAGTGATGAAACGAGTTCGGCTCAATAACAGTGTAAAGTTCACCAGTTATGAAACGAGTTCGGCTCAATAACAGTGTAAAGTTCACCAGTGATGAAACGAGTTCGGCTCAATAACTGTGTAAAGTTCACCAGTGATGAAACGAGTTCGGCTCAATAACTGTGTAAAGTTCACCAGTGATGAAACGAGTTCGGCTCCACAGAAGCAGATCCAGTTTCATGACTGATGTTGTTTGTCCTGCAAGTTCAAGCAGATCCACAGCTTTTATAAATTACATCATGACTGATTCATTCACTGAATTTGTGTGTGTGTGTGTGTGAGAGAGAGATGACATCACCGTGTGTGTGTGTGTGTATGAGTGTGTGTGTGTGTGTGAGAAGGTGTGTGAGAGTGTGTGTGTGTGTGTGTGCGTGTGTGTAAGAGATGACATCACTGTGTGTGCATTATTGATGGATCAGTCTGAACACGCTGTTCAAACACACAGTTCACACACTTCTGTTGTTTTTATATGAAGATGAAGCACTAACTCTACCTGTGAAATTACACTTCTATGCACATTTTCTTGGCTTTACATCTATCATGTTTCTAATGGAGGACATCTACAAACTTCAAACAAACTTCTACAAAAGTTCGTATTTGATGTGTTTTGTACGGTGGCCGAGAGAGCTCAACGCGCTGCAACTGAAGAAAACACATGCAAATAGAAAACAACGCGTGCAAATAAAAAAAACACCTGCAAATTAAGAAAACATCTTCATCAGTTTCACAACACACGTGTGCTCCAAATACTCACAACACAACCAAATACATAAACGCGCTGCAAATAACACAGAGCACAACGGAAATGTTTCCAGGGGAACCAAATAAGTGACGAACCCGGCTGGGACGTGCTGGCATAGATGTCCATAAATCTATGCGTGCTGGTTCTTACAGCTTAAAATTATACTTTATTTATTTATTTATTTGTTTGTGTAAAACATACAGAGATTACATTTTTTATGACATACAACTTGTATACAATGTACAAAATGTATTAACAATATGTTCAATGTCATCAGAATACAAATGAGAAAAGAACAATGAGCTGGAAACTAAAATAAATAAATAAAAAAGATAAAGAAGAAAACCATGAAGGAAAGATATTTATCTATAAGTTACATCAGTTACACTGTACAAATTGTTTCATGTTATTACATTTTCATAAAGAAAAGTTTCGTAAGAAATGTTAGGTAATGTAGGGTCCAACATTTTAAAGTTGAGACACAGATATATAACGCATATTTTAAAAGCTTTTTTTGTAAACTAAAAATAAAAATGTATTTGCATCCGTTATGTTAACAGCATCATATTTCTGTGTAAGACCAGCTGATGGACCGTGCTGCGTTGTCATGGGAACATCCCACGTTGTCTTTAGTTGCTCCCTTCATCAAGTGCGCTCCACACGGCTGCCTAACAGCACACTAGAGCCTTGCTCACTCCAAAAGGGCTCTGCAATCTGCCCTTCGAAGGGAGTATGGCATAGGGAAGCTCACGAGCAATAAGCACGTCTCGGCCGGGTTCGTCACTTATTTGGTTCCCCTGGAAACATTTCCGTTGTGGTCTGTGTTATTTGCAGCGTGTTTTCTGTATTTGGTTGTGTTGTGAACTTTTGCAGCGCGTTTCCTTATTTGGAGCACACGTGTGTTGTGAAACTGATGAAGATGTTTTTTTTTAATTTGCTGGTGTTTTTTTCTATTTGCACACGTTTTTCTCTATTTGCATGTGTTTGCTTCAGTTGCAGCGCGTTGAGCTGTCTCGGCCACCGTAGTTTTGTGCCGTTTCCCACAATCCTTTGTGTCCCACCGCAGGTGCATGATCATGCGTTCCCGTAGCAACAGTCTGGAGGGCGCGGTGAAGGCGGAGCCTCCCAGATCACGGCGGCAGGCGTCTGAGCGCGAGGGGGCGTGTCACACTCACGAGGACACGCCCCCCGCCCAGAGCAAGCCGAGCCGACGGCGAGCGCACAGGGAGCGCAGCGGAGCCGGGAAGAGCCGCGATCTGTCCCGGGATGACCTCGTGTTCCTGCTCAGCATGCTGGAGGGAGAACTGCAGGTGAAGCTCTGTCAGCACTCAAATAAACATTTATTATTTCATATTTTACTAAATAATTTGGACTTTTGAATAATTTGGAAATTGCGATAAAATCAAAGCCATGCTGCACATCTAACTAAGTTGTGTTTCAAATTTGAAGTAGATTTTGAGCCACTGAAAGGTTTGAAAGGTTTTCAGTTTTCACAGAAAGTTTTTTGAGTGTTTAAGCTTTCGAATGATACCAAATTTATGATGATTACCAAAATATGTGAGGGGGGAAAGCAATAAAAACCTTGCAGGTATGATGGAGAGAGGAAAGATCTTCCTTCTGGACGCCCCATTTTCCCCTGCTGGCCTCTTCGGTGACTCAGTAAACATGGTCATCGAAAGGTTTCAAGAAGAGACAAAGCAGGCGGCGGTGTTCCAGAAACTCTGGCCACTCCTCCCTCATGTGTCCGGCCGTCGACCAGCTCCTCACAACACCGGGCGCCGCAAAAGCAGAGCGTCGCGTCTCACGCTCCCTCACAGAAAGCCTGGGCTCTGCGCTCTCAGGAGAAATCCTCCTAGGGCAAAACGTACCACATTGTCCACAGTGGTTCTCACGTCTGTACGCATCTCCCCCGGTTGCTCTACTCCCAGGAGTTCTGGAAAGGGTTCGCCGGGACGGGGTCAGTCTACTGCTAATAGCCCCGTTCTGGCCGGCCCCGTCAGAGCTGCCCTGTAGAGGAAACCTGAACAGTCGTTTGCATGTTTTGTGTCACCCAGGAAGGGGTGCCCAGCATCTAAGCAGAGAATGAGTGAGCGGGTGGTCGAGGCTCTCTCACTTGCTTACGAGTCGGCTGGTCAGCCTTCAGCTTTGGCTGAGCTCACTCCACTAGGAGTGTGGCTGCTTCTAAAGCTTTATTGTCAGAGGTTTCCCTCCAGGATGTTCGTGATGCGGCAGGCTGGTCCTCACCGCACACAATCATGAGGTTCTACGATCTTCAGCTCCACTCGAGGGGCGCAGGTGCTTTCGTCTGAATGTGCGCTCTGACTTCACGCAGACGGACACTTGCTCTTATGGCGACGTGGGTATTAGCATTCCCACAGCATTTCAACGCAGCTCGAGTTCCCTTGAAAGGGAACATCTTGGTTACGTATGTAACCCTAGTTCCCTGAAGAGGGAACGAGACGCTGCGTCGCCCTGCCATACTCCCGACATGCCCGTGATCGACTTGCCTCAGCCTATCAGAAGTTTGCGCTGTTTGGTTCAGGAGTGCTTATAGTTTCCTGGTCGATGACGTCACATGGCATTCCATCACGCAATTGGACTGATTCCATACGTGCTTTATGACGCAATCGCGCAGGGGAGTTCCCACAGCGTATCGACGCAGCTCGAGTTCCCTCTTCAGGGAACTAGGGTTACATGCGTAACCGAGACGTTTTCACGGTGGCGAAGCAGAGAGTCAAGACAGCTGCTGATGAAATGAAACCAGCATAAAAGCAACAGAAATTATAGCTGTAGGCATATTCATATTCAGCCCTTCAGCTCAGTGATCTCACAGAGTTTCTGTGTTTCAATCACAGGCCCGAGACGAGGTGATCACGGTCCTCAAAGCGGATAAAGTGGACCTGGCTGTGCTGGAGGGCCGATACGGGTTCGTGACGCCGCCGCAGGTGCTGAAGGCTCTTCAGAGAGACGCCCTCCAGGAGCAGGGCGGCAGCTGGCAGGAGGACGTCTACGAGAAGCCCATGGCCGAGGTGTGTGTCAGCGCTCTGAGGTCCAGCGCGGCCGTGTTCTGAGTGTGTGTGAGGTCCAGCCGTGGCCGTGTTCTGAGCGTGTGTGTGTGTGTGTGTCAGGTGGACAGGCTGGTGGAGAGGCAGCGGGAGACGTACCGGCGGATGCTGGAGCAGCTGCTGATGGTGGAACAGGCGCATCGACAGACTCTCCTCCGGCTGGACCACGAGAAGAGGAACCACAGCGACTTCATGAGGAAGAGCGACGAGTTCACCGGCCTGCTGGAGCAGGAGAGAGAGAGGTGAGTGTGTGTGTGTGTGTGTGTGTGTGTGTGTGTGTGTGTGTGTGTGTGAGTGAGTGTTCACCGGCCTGCTGGAGCAGGAGAGAGAGAGGTGAGTGTGTGTGTGTGAGTGTGTGTGTGTGTGTGTGTGTGTGTGTGAGTGAGTGTTCACCGGCCTGCTGGAGCAGGAGAGAGAGAGAGGTCAGTGTTATGTGGGAGTGTTCTAATCTGTGTTTTGTTGCAGTTGCTCATCTGCAAATAACTGGTTAATTGGTAAATAAACATGCTCATTCTCGCTCTCTCTGGTCTTGCAATCATCTCTACAGTTAATTTACTCAAGCCTTACTTTGACCGTAATCAAACAGCGTCTACAGAGGTCAAGGCCTTGGCTATACTGACTGCTCCATCTACTGAGACTGGAGGAGCTGTTGCTGTCTCTAAGATTGATCAGAGTAGATTGCCAAATTCTAAAATCTTGGCTGATTTGAACTCTCGTTTGTCTTATCTGAATCTTTCTGAGCGCTCTGATGTTATTCAGTTAATTGGTCAGCGTTTGGCCTTGTTCTCTGTTCCATCTTGTACAAATGTGCTAGAGCATGGCATTGATGTGGGTCAAGCTACCCCTCTTAAACAACACCCATATAGGGTAAATCCTGTTAAACGCCAGCTTTTGGTCAAAGAGGGAGAGTGTATGTTAGAACATGGCATAGCTGAACCGAATTCTAGTGCTTGGAGTTCACCATGCTTACTAGTTGAGAAGCATGATGCTTCTTTTCTGTTTTGTACAGATGTAAATGCCAAGCCTGACTGCTATCTTCTCCCATGGCTAGATGACTGCATAGATCAAGTTGGTTTTGCACCCTTTGTTACGAAGTTAGACCTTTTAAAGGCCACTGGCAGGTTCCACTGTCCCGTGAGATCTCTGCTTTTGTGACGCCGGACAACTTCTGTTATTATAAGGTTATAGCATTTGGATGGCTACATGCCCCTGCCACTTTCCAGCGCAAGGGAAATAAGGTGTTGGAAGGAGTTGCAGGATGCGAGGCTTACCTTGATTATTTGGTTATTTATAGTTCTACCTGGTCTCAACACGTGGCCCAGCTTGGGGATGTGTTCAACGGCTGCAAATTTGACCTTTAACCTCTCAATGGGCTCTATCATACACCTGGTGCAGGGCAGCGCCAAGCAAGTGTGTTTCGCTAGTTTCAGCCCGACGCAGTTATCATTTTCACGTCCTGCTCCACGTTGTTTAAATAGCAAATGGATCTGCGCCTATTTGTGCGCCCATGGGCTGCTGGTCTGAGAACGAGTGTGTGTTCAGGCGCAATGATGGACCTTTGCTATTTTGAGGAACTGAAATAGACTGAGCCGTTGACCATCTGAAACCTGCTCTAAAGTCAATGGTGCAGTATTTTTTTTGTTATTTAAAGAGCGCGTTAGTAATGTGCGCCTATAGGCGGGACGCGCAGCCGCACATAAACTAGCCAAATATTAAAAATAAAAGGATTACAATGTAATATTGTGTAAAGATATGGTGGAATCCAGATTGTCCTGTAGATGGTCTACTCGCGCACGAGCAGATCCGTTTCCTCGCCAGAGAAGCGTTCAGTTTTTCCGCTTGTAGATTCCTCCATGTAAATAGCCAATCCGCCATGGCGCGAGCACAACTAGCTTTTAAAGGGAATGGGAGATGAGCCTCTGGTTGGTTTATTTCACGTTACGCCTAAAACACACCAATTACTCATTAAGAGAATAGGGACAACCCTTTTAGACCGCTTAGATCATTAAATTAGGGCCATAAGTGTGAGTGTGGACAAGCCGCAGTAACTTACTTGGGAAAAGTTGTTGGCCATGGTGGTCATGTGTCTCCAGTAGGAGCAGTTGTGAATTTTGCTGTACCATCATCTCGGAGTGAATTAAAAGGTTTCCTAGCCAAATGTTTCCACCGTTCCACCGTAACCTGCTTATTCCCAGGGTCAAGAGTCATGTCCGCCGGCCTTAGGAAATCTGAAGGCTTTGTGGAGCCGTTCTCCTACTCTCGCCGCCCCTGATCTCAACAGACCCTTCAAGCTAGCTGTGGGTGCTGGGGATTTTGGCGTGGGTGCTGTACTTCTCCAAGAGTTGAGAATCTTATGTGCTATTTTTCAACAAAATTTGATATCCATCAGAAGCATTCTACAATTTAAAAGGAAGCTTTGGCCCTTATTCTTGCTCTGAATCATCTTGATGACGTTTCTTATATTCCACTTATTGCGTACACTGATCATAATCCTTTAGTTTTTCTCCACAGAGACATTCCAACCAGCGTTTAATGCGATGGAGTTTGTTTTTGCAGGGTTATGATCTTAAACTTCGTGACATTCGTGGAAAGGACAATGTGTTGGCAGATGCCTTATCAAGGTCTACGTGTCTGCCCTTGTTTACGTGTTGCTGTACATGTTGGTGTTGCATTAGGTTGTCCTATAGCAACGTATAAGGGTGGGCGTGTTATAAAGGAGTGTTCGATCTGTGTTTGGTTGCAGTTGCCTGGTGGCTCACCTGCAATTAACTGGTTAATTGGTATCACCTGGAGGAGGCCAATCTTATATCCAGGACACATGCTCATTCTCTCTCTCTGCTCTTGCAGTCATCTCTATAGTCCCCATTTCCTTTTATAATTTAATAAACTTTACTTTTGATTTGCAGACGTTGGTCGTTTTGTCCTTTGCTTCTCTACAGCGAGGGTTGTAACAGTCAGTCAGAGCAGTGTGTGTGTGTGTGTGTGTGTGTGGGTGTGTGTGTGTGTTCACCAGAGAGAGAGAGGTCAGTCCGGCCTTACAGCCTTTAGTTTCAGCTGTAGATCAGTGTCGCCACCTTGTGGACAAACTAAGTACTGCAGAAAATGTTTGCGCTGTGTGTGTACAGTGTGTACAGTGTGTGTGTACAGTGTGTACAGTGTGTGTACAGTGTGTACAGTGTGTGCGTACTATGCGAGTTATGATATTTAACATCATGCGCACAGTACGCAAACCCTAGTGTACGTGTAGAAAGTGAGCTGCACAGTGTGTGTGTGTGTGAGCTGCACAGTGTGTGTGTGTGTGAGCTGAACAGTGTGTGTGTGTGAGCTGGACAGTGTGTGTGTGTGTGTGAGCTGAACAGTGTGTGTGTGTGAGCTGGACAGTGTGTGTGTGTGTGTGTGTGAGCAGGACAGTGTGTGTGTGAGCTGAACAGTGTGTGTGTGTGAGCTGGACAGTGTGTGTGTGAGAGCTGGACAGTGTGTGTGTGAGCTGAACAGTGTGTGTGTGAGCTGGACAGTATGTGTGTGAGCTGAACAGTGTGTGTGTGAGCTGAACAGTGTGTGTGTGAGCTGGACAGTGTGTGTGTGAGCTGAACAGTGTGTGTGTGAGTAGGACAGTGTGTGTGTGTGAGCTGAACAGTGTGTCTGAATGCACAGTGTGTGTGTGAGCTGAACAGTGTGTGTGTGAGCAGGACAGTATGTGTGTGTGAGCAGGACAGTGTGTGTGTGAGCTGAACAGTGTGTGTGTGTGTGAGCTGGACAGTGTGTGTGTGTGAGCTCAACAGTGTGTGTGAATGCACAGTGTGTGTGTGAGCTGGACAGTGTGTGTGTGTGAGCTGGACAGTGTGTGTGTGAGCTGGACAGTGTGTGTGTGTGAGCTGGACAGTGTGTGTGTGAGCTGAACAGTGTGTGTGTGAGTAGGACAGTGTGTGTGTGTGAGCTGAACAGTGTGTCTGAATGCACAGTGTGTGTGTGAGCTGAACAGTGTGTGTGTGAGCAGGACAGTATGTGTGTGTGAGCTGAACAGTGTGTGTGTGAGCTGAACAGTGTGTGTGTGTGAGCAGGACAGTGTGTGTGTGAGCTGAACAGTGTGTGTGTGTGTGAGCTGGACAGTGTGTGTGTGTGAGCTCAACAGTGTGTGTGAATGCACAGTGTGTGTGTGAGCTGGAAAGTGTGTGTGTGTGAGCTGGACAGTGTGTGTGTGTGAGCTGAACAGTGTGTGAACAATAACCGTTTGACCTTCTGATTCCTGTGAGATTCTGAACTGAGCATTTGATGGACACTTTACTGTCCCATGAGGCCACAGGAGAGGGTTAATGAATGACAGTGAAGCAACGCAACTAACGTGTGTGTGTGTTTGTGTGTGTGTGTGTGTGTGTGTGTGTGTGTGTGTGTGTGTGTGTGTGTGTGTGTGTGATGGGTAGGTTTAGGGGTCGGGTTTGTGTTTGTGTGTGTATGTATGTATTTTTATTTTAACATTATATATTTTAATGTAGCATTTTTCAGTATGTGTTTTAATCTGATTGTTTATATCCTTCACATGTTTGAAGTGCAGTCTGCAGTTCCTCTGCTGTTGCAGGATTCATTCTAGCAGCATGACATCATTTCCTGCCATCACACACACACACACACACACACACACACACGAGTCTGTCTCTCTCATGTTCGATCCCCGTTCGGGACGTTACAGCTTCTGCTGTCTCAGTGCTGGACTCGGATCTGTCGTGTGTATATCCGGACTCATATTTAGCTAATGATGTTTCCATTTTCATTTCCTTACAAGGCCCTTAAAAATAAGTCTGAGAGGCTGAAAATAAGCCTTGGCTGATGATATATCCGTGAGCAGAAGCGGAGCCTTTTTAAAGATGAACCCAACGCGGCGTGAGTAAAAATATCAGATGGATTCACACTCTCCGGCCTCGCGATCGAGAGACTCGGTCTCCAGAGGGACGGAGTTAGATAAAGCAGAGCACAGTTCGAGGAACGGTGTGTGTGTATATATGTGTGAGTGCGAGTGTGTGTGTGATCGAGTCACTTTAGTCTCAAACCCAAACCGGTTACCTGTAGATCTGGTGTTTTCTGTCTTTGTGTCAGTGATCTTCTCCTGAAGCGAGCGAGTGAATGTTGGTCGATGCCAAATCAAACACTCCAGACGTGTTTGCAGATGTGTGTCAGTGACGTGAGGTCATTCGGCCCCGGGCCGTCAGTGCATGGCGTAATGTGATTACATATCTGTGTAACCACA